TCCTATTGTTCTATATCCTCACCAAGATTTGGTGTATTTATCTTTTTCATTGTAATCATTCTGATGATTACAGTGCATGGATATCTCATCATGGTTTTAATTTACGTTTTCCTGATGACTAATGGAATCGAGTACCTTCTCATATGTTCACTGGCCATTTGGGTATCTTCTTTTGCAAAATGCCTGTTTAAGTCCTTTGCCTATTTTTTTGTTGTTGTTGTTGGGTAATGTGCCTTTTTCTTATTGATTTGTAGCATTCTTACTATTTTTTTTTGTAGAGTTCGAGTCTCATTATGTTGTCCTGCTTGGTCTCATACTCCTGACCTCAAGTGATCCTCTCACACTGGCTTCTCAAAGTGCTGGAATTACAGGCATGAGTCACTATACCTGGCTGATTTGTAGCATTCTTTATAGATTCTGTATATGCATACTTTGTTATGTGTTGGATATATGGGTTGTAAATATCTTCTTTGCCATTTGGTGGCTTACTTGGTGCTTACTTGGTGATTGGTATCTCTCAGTGAACAAAACGTCTTAGTTTTTGTACAGATAAATTATCATTATTTTCCTTTATGCTTATTAACTTTAGTGTTTTTTTAAAGCAGTCTTTGCCTACCTCAAGGTCATGAAGATATTCTGTGTTCTCTTCTAAAAGTATATTGTTTTACCTAACACATTTAGATCTATATTCTTCGTGGAATTAACTTTTGCATGTGATATAAAGTGTAGGAATCAAGATTGATTTACTTCCTTATGAATGTCCAGTTGACCCACCATAATTGTTTTGTTTTTTATTTTTATAATTTTATTTCCCTCCTTTGAGAATATAATTTTTAAAAATTCTTATTGTCAGAGTTACAGTGTTCTTAAACCAGATCATGAGATTCCGCCTGCTCAAAATCTAGAGTACTTTCCCGTCGCAGTTTTTCTTTCTTTTTTTATTTTTTTCAATATCATTCCCCCTTTTTTAAAAATATTTTTTAAATGTACTTTAGGTTCTGGGGTACATGTGCAGATCATGCAGGATTGTTGCATAGATACATATTTGGCAAGGTGGTTTGCTGCCTTCATCTCCCCATCACCTATATCTGGTATTTCTCCCCTCATTAACCCTCCCTTCCCTCCCCACCCCCCACTGTCTCTCCCCTAGCCACCTCCTACTGACCTCAGTGTGTGATGCTCCCCTCCCTGTGTCCACGTGTTCTAATTGTTCAACACCCACCTGTGAGTGATAACATGCAGTGTTTGGTTTACTGTTCTTGTGTCAGTTTGCTGAGAATGATGGTTTCCAGACTCATCCACATCCCTATGAAGGACATGAACTCATCGTTTTTTATGGCTGTGTGGTATTCCTTGGTATATATGTGCCACATTTTCTTTATCCAGTCTATCAATGATGGACTGAAAAAAAAAAACAAAACATTTCAAACTTCATGTGGAACCAAAAGAGAGCCCGCATAGCCAAAACAATCCTAAGCAAAAATAACAAAGCTGGAGGCATCATGCTACCTGAATTCAAACTATACTACAAGACCACAGTAATCAAAACAGCATGGTACTGGTACCAAAACAGAGACATAGACCAATGGAACAGAACAGAGGCCTCGGAGGCAACACCACACATCTACAATCATCTGATCTTTGAAAAACCTGACAAAAACAAGCAGTGGAGAAAGAATTCCCTGTTTAATAACTGGTGTTGGGAAAACTGGCTAGCCATGTACACAAAGAAGAAACTGGACCCCTTCCTGACACCTTACACTAAAATTAACTACAGATGGATTAAAGATCTAAACATAAGACCTAACACCATAAAAACCCTAAAAGAAAACCTAGGTAAAACCATTCAGGACATAGGCATAGGCCAGGACTTCATGGCTAAGACACCAAAAGCAATGGCAACAAAAGCCAAAATAGACAAATGGGATCTAATTAAACTCCTGTGCTTCTGTACAGCAAAGGAAACAACCATTAGAGTGAACCAGCAACCAACAGAATGGGAAAAAATTTTTGCTATCTACCCATCTGACAAAGGGCTAATATCCAGAATCTACAAAGAACCAAAGCAGATTTACAAGAAAAAAGCAAACCCATTCAAAAGTGGGGGAAGAATATGAATAGACACTTTACAAAAGAAGACATATATGAGGCCAGCAAACATGAAAAAATGCTCATCATCACTGGTCATTAGATAAATGCAAATCAAAACCACATTGAGATACCATCACACCAGTTAGAATGGCGATCATTAAAAAATCTGGAGACAGCAGATGCTGGAGAGGATGTGGAGAAATAGGAACACTTTTACACTGTTGGTGGGAGTGTACATTAGTTCAACCATTGTGGAAGATAGTGTGGAGATTCCTCGAGGGCCTAGAAATAGAAATACCATTTGACTCAGCAATCTCATTACTGGGTATATACCCAAATAATTATAAATTGTTCTATATAAAGACACATGCACACATATGTTCATTGTGGCACTGTTTACAATAGCAAAGACCTGGAACCAACCCAAATGTCCATCATCGATAGGCAGTTTTTCTTTTAATAATTTCAGCTTTTATTTTAGATTCGGGTTACATGTGCAGGGTATATTGTTACATGGGTTACATGGGTATATTGGGTATATTGCATGATGCTGAGATTTGGGGTACGATTGATTCCGTCATCCAGGTAGTGAGCATAGTTCTCAATAGTTAGTTTTTGAAACCTTTCCTCCCTCTTCTAGTAGTCCCCTGTGGCTATCGTTGCCATCTTTATGTCCAGTGTACCTCATGTTCAGCTCTCACTTATAAGTGAGAACATACAGTATTGGTTTTCTGTTCTGCATTAATTTACTTAGGATAATGGCACATTGCACTTTAGAATAAGATGATACCCCTCCCACCATGACTTCTCCTCCTCCATCTGCCCCCCTTTTGGCTTCCCTCCCACCAGTCTCTTTCTCTCCCCTCTACTGTGGGAACGCTGAACTCTGTGCCATTCCTCATTCTTCCAGGTGCTCTTTCTCCATGTCTCAGCTGGGATCACTCCCCATTTCACTCACCTCTCTGCTCAAACATCCTTTCCTCAGAATGGACTACCCAATCACCCCACCTAACATTAATGAGTAAATAATATATAAAAGTCCTCTGCATATGTGTATTATTAATGATGTCTTCCCTACTATGTGATTCTTTGAGGGAAAGGACTGTATCTTACTTGCTTTTGTGTTTCTTGTTTCCAGCATAATACAGAGAACTCAAATAGGGTCTTGAGTTTGATACATATGATAACTCAGTATTTTCCCTGCTTTGTCTACATTAGCCTTGGATAACTTAGACTCTGTTATAAATCTTTAGTAATTTCGATAAGCTTTGATGGAATGTTAACTCTTTGTACCTTTTTAAAAAGGGGGTGCTAAGCAATATTGTAGCTGAACACACTTTAACTGTTTTACATGGAAATAATGCATGAGCTGGGCCCAAATGAACTTTATATGTTGGCAAAAGAACATAGATTTCAGTGACTTTATATAGTCAGATCCTATTTGTTTCCTAACAATTATACTAATTGTGTTCAAGTTTCTAACATTACATTTTTTCTAAGTGTTCTACAATCCAGATTTAGTGATTCTTATTGACCTACTTCCCATTATTGGGGCTATTCTAGGGCTACATGCATATAATAAAATTTGTTTTTTAGGCAGGAGTTAGATCAACCTTTCATTTGTTTATTTGTTCATTCTTAGTCAAGGCATTTATCTCCACCATTGATTGCATTTGTTTTCCTTTTTGTAAACCCTTAAGCTAGTGTCTGACACACAAGTTTCTTTTATTAATCATCAATGCCATTAAATTGTAGAGCAGAAAGAGACTTTTAAGATCACCTTATCCAGTTATAAAGTATTACTGGATCAGTTGATAAAATTAAAATATAGTTGGTATATTAACATATTGCATCTTTAACAACCAGCTTCATGAAGCTGATAACTGTGCTGTGTGTTAAGAGAATATCCGTATTCTTAGAAAAAACACTAAAGTATTTAGGAATAAAGGTGCCATGAGTTGTATAACTTACTCCTAAATGATTCAGGAAAAAAAAAATGTGTGTGTGTGTGTGTGTGTGTTATGTGTGTTTATGTGTGTTTATGTACAAGGAGAAACAAGTACAGAGCAAATTATAAACAAATGAAGCAAAACATTAACAAGGAGATTTGGGTAAAAGGCATATTAGTGTTATTTGTACTATTCTTGTAGCTTTTCTGTAAGTGTGAAGTTATTTCCACATAAACAGTTTGAAAAATTATCTCATCTATCCCTCTCAGGAAAAACATTCGGTCCTCATGACATCATAACACAGAGGTTAAGTAGCTTTCCATTACCCAGAGTTAGAAACAAAACTGACTCTTAGTCCCGTGTACCCTCTATTACACTATGCTGAGGCCTTCTAGTACATAAAGTTACTAAGCATTAATTGAATACAGGGGGCAGTCATCCTGTTGTGTACTTACATAGGACACAGCCAAGCTTGTATATTAGTCATGTAGTTTTGAGTACCTTTAAAAAGTAATTTGGGGGCCGGGTGTGGTGGCTCACGCCTGTAATCCCAGTACTTTGGAAGGCCAAGGCAGGCGGATCACGAGGTCAGGAGATTCAGACCATCCTGGCCTACATGGTGAAACCCCCATCTCTACTAAAATACAAAAAAGTTAGCCGGGCATGGTGGTGTGTACCTGTAGTCCTAGCTATTCGGGAGGCTGAGGCAGGAAAATTGCTTGAACCTGGGATGCAGAGATTGCCGTGAGCCAAGATCACGCCACTGCACTCCAGCCTGGCAACAGAGCGAGACTCCATCTCAAAAAAAAAAGTAATTTGGCTATTACCTGGTCAGCCTTACAACCTCCAGCCCCTCTATTACCTGGAAGCCTTGTTATTAGATATGCTGCTTATTGTAATGAGAGACACCTATGTTTGCATTTTAACAAACAATGGTTTTGTTCTTCTATTTCTTGATAGCTACTGCTTCTTGGGATACCTTTCTCATGCTATGGAATTTCAAGCCACATGCTAGAGCTTACAGATATGTGGGTCACAAGGATGTTGTAACCAGCGTACAGTTTTCTCCACACGGAAACTTATTGGCATCTGCCTCACGAGACAGAACCGTGAGACTCTGGATTCCTGATAAGTAAGAGAAACAGATAAATACTTGCTATGTTTTGGATTTGGAAATGTGAAAGAAAGCTGAGCCTGGCTGCTGCTCATGCACTGCTATCTGAACTACTAGTCTCAGTCACATACAAGGCATGCTGCGTTTTTTGTAAAGTCAAACTAATTCATACAGTTTTTTCCTCATATTTATGTCTTCTTGGCCTGGCGTGGTGGCTCATACCTGTAATCCCAGCACTTTGGGAGGCTGAGGTGGGCAGATCATGAGGTCAGGAGTTTGAGACCAGCCTGGCCAACATGATGAAACCTTGACTCTACCAAAAATACAAAATTAGCTTTAAGGATGTAAATTTTCAAACATACATGAAAATAGAATGAATAGCACGACTCCCCTGCCCCCATATTCCCATCAATCAGCTTCAGCAGTTGTCAGGATTCTACCCATCTTGTTTCATCTACACCTCCCCTCACTTTTTCCCCTGGAGTGTTTTTAGAACAAATTCTACATATCATATTATTTCCCCCCATAAATACTTCAGAGCAGAGGTTCCCAACCCCTGGGCCACCAACCAGTACCAGTCCATGGCCTGTTAGGAACCAGGCCACACAACAGAGCTCTGCTTCCTATCAGATCAGCGAAAGCATTCGATTCTCATAGGAGCACAAATCCTATTGTGAACTGTGCATGCAAGGGATCTAGGCTGCACGCTCCATATGAGAATCTCATGCCTGATGATCTGTCACTGTCTCCCATCACCCCAAGTGGGACCAACTAGTTGAAGGAAAACAAGTTCAGGGCTCCCACTGATTCTACATTATAGTGAATATGTAATAATAACAGAAATAGGACTGGGCGTGGTGGCTCATGCCTGTAATCCCAGCACTTTGGGAGGCTGATGAGGGTGGATCACCTGAGGTCAGGAGTTCGAGACCAGCCTGGCCAATGTGGTGAAACCCTGTCTGTACTAAAAATACAAAATTAGCCAGGCATGGTGGTGCACACCTGTAATCCCAGCTATTCGGGAGGTTGAGGCAGGAGAATTGCTTGAACCCAGGAGGCAGAGGTTGCAGTGAGCCAAGATTGTGCCATTGCCCAGCCTGGGCAGAAAAGAGTGAAACTCTGTCTTAAATAATAATAATAGTAATAGAAATAAAGTACTTGATAAATGTATGTGCTTGAGTCATCCCCAAATCATCCATCCTTCCCGCAACCCCCTGGTCCCATGGAAAAATTGTCTTCCATGAAACTGGTTTCTGGTGCTAAAAGGCTGGGTACCACTGCTTCAGAGGATAAAGATCTGAGCATTTTGGCTGGGCACAGTGGCTCATGCTGGTAATCCCAGCATTTTGGGAGGCTTAGGCAAGCGGATCACGAGGTCAAGAGATCGAGACCACCTGGCCAACGTGGTGAAACCCCATCTCTACTAAAAATACAAAAATTAGCTGGGCGTGGTGGCATGCCCCTGTAGTCCCAGCTACTGTGGGGCTGAGGCAGGAGAAATTGCTTGAATCCGGGAGGTGGAGTTTGCAGTGAACCGAGATCACACCACTGCACTCCAGCCTGGTGACAGAGCAAAACTCTGTCTGGAAAAAAAAAAAAAAAAAGAGAATTTGTGCATTTTCCTTGACACTGTTGTGGCAGGATTTGACTTGTACTCTGTGGCTAAACAGGCCCAGGCACTCCCAAATACAGGAAAGCTCATGGGCTTTCCCATGCCAGCCTTCCCATGCCAGTGGGTGATTTTTTTCTGCCACCACCCAAGGGGAACTCTATGCTGACAAATCTATTATTCCAATGGTAGTGAAAACTGTTGAAGAGGAGTGACATGTTATAATGGATGGCAATGTAGCAGGAAATTTTAAGGGAGAAGGAACTGGTTTGGTGCCTGAGAGGAGAAGCATGTTCCAAAATCCTTAGCTTTGGGAATTTAGAACTAGCCTTTTTGCTATCTTCAGCACAGCATAACTTCAGTCTCCCATTACTAATTCAAGGAAATCTCCGTGAACAAACTGTATAAGGGTAGATGAGCTGAAATCTCACTGAATCATTAATTTGTCATAGCTCACCTTAATACAGTGATTAGGCTTGTGTAGGTGTCCCTGGTTTCTCTTACTAAATCATGTCACAGTAGGGCCAGACCAATAATGGTGGATTGTGGCAACAGGAAGGCAGATGATGTGTCAGTTATCTCTTGCTGTATGATTGTCCTAAAACCTTAGTATGTTAGTTCAGAAACAATGATTTGTCACGATTTTCTGGGTTGTCTGGAGAATCAAATCAGAAGCTGCTAGACCATTTAAGGACTAGGCCCGAAACTTGAAACGTCACTTCTACCACATTCTGTTCCTCAAAGTAAAGTCACAACACCAGCCCAGATTCAAAGGGAGGAGAAATAAACAGATTCCACCCCATGTGAAGTGGAGAGACATGCATGTACAGGGATGAGATGAGTATTGGCAGCCATATTTACAGATACACACCACAGCTGGTGATCAGAAGGCTAAGAAAGAGTAGGAAGAGGCAGGTGGCATGGCTTACACCTGTAATTCCAGCACTTTGGGAGCCTGACGCAGGAGGATCACTTGAGGCCAAAAGTTCAAGACCAGCTTGGGCAATATAGTGAGACCCTGTTTCTATAAAAAATAAAATTAGCTGGGCATGGTGATACACACCTAGCTCCTCAGGAGGCTGAGGAAGGAGGATCTCTTGAACACAGGAGTTTGAGTCACAGTGAGTAGTGATTGCACCACTGTATTCCAGCCTGTGTCACAGAAAGAGAACACGTCTCAAAAAAATAAATAAGAAAAGAATAGGTAGGAGCAAGTCTGAAAGCAAGTCTGGCCCAGAGTTCATCACAGTGAACAGTCAAGAGAATTTGGCTGAAAGGGAAAGTAAATATTTAGGAGGCAGAGAGCCTATATTAAGTCAAAATGAGGAACTGGAAACCAGTTAGGCACTAGCACAACAAACACAAGGCACTCCTATCTTGGTTTCTTCTGTTTCCTGTTGAGACTGGATCCGGTGCTTGGTTTAGCCTACAGCTGAGAGGAGAGACTTTTAGAAAGGTGGCAAAGAGGACAGCCTGCTGGAGTGTGGAATGCTGAGCTAAAAATCAGGGCAAATTTTGGTGATACTGACAGTCTGTCTCTCAGCCTCCTGGTCATTGCAGATGCCTTTCCTTTGTTTTCTGTAGACATTATACTTGGATTCAGGCCAAACTATACTTCTGATTTCCACTCATGAAATTCACCCTTGAAAACCTCACTGAGCTAGTCCCTGGATGCTCCCTCCTAATATTTGTTTAATATTAATTTCAGTTATTCATGAGTAATATCATATGTCAGGTGATGGAAATTTATGATAAAAGTCACCTTTGCTCCCTACCGACCACTGGAAGCTTAAGCCAGGTTGGGTCTAAGAGCCTTTATTGACTGTTCTGAGTGGAATTCAACATGTATTGAGTTCTTTTTATGTGCTTGACATATTGCTAGATGGTGGCCTTATAGAGATAAATAAATCATCATTCCTGTTCTCCAAAAATGTACTGCTTAAGAGGAGACAAATAGTTCTTTAAAAAGTCACTGTATAGTGTAGTAAGTAAAATCGTTGTAGCAGATAGGGAGCCTGTCTGGCTTGGTCAAGGGGGCCTAGGGATGGGGGAAGGAAGTAGTCCAGCCTGAGAAAGCAATAATTGCAAAGGCAGGGGTGTGTTTGAAGTGCTGTGACTGTTCTGAGTACAAAGTTCAGTGTAGTGGCAGGATGCCTCGCCAAAGCCTTTGGGCATTGTGCTTTCTTTTGGAGAAGAGCCAGTGACACATTTACACTAGGATTTACATGCTTGGCGTTACACTCTTAGCAAGGTAATAAGCACAATATGTAGGTGACCAGAAGGGGACAAAAGATTAGAGCAGGAAGACCAGTTAAGAGGCTTTTGCAATAACCTAGGTGAAGGATGTTGAGGATATATCTACCTTAAGGCAAGCAGAGCTGACATAGAAGAGGAGGATTCGAAAGATATTTAGGAAGTAAGGATGATATGGTTTGCTAACTTACTGGATGTGGGAGAGGAAGGGGGAGGAGTTGAGTATGAATACCAGGCTTCTGGCTTGGACACAGGCGATGTCACTCTGACCAGCCAAAGTAACAAAATACAGGACGAGGTGCAGGTGTATGGGAGATCAGCGTGAACATTTGAACATCTGAGAAATATATTGTGGCCAGCTAAATTCTGTTGCCTGATTTTTTTCAAGCATTTATCACAATTTTCCCCATAGGATATCTTGAGTGTCAATATGATTTTCTAAATGGGAAAATTGCTAAGTCCTGGATACAGTGTAAGGTGAAAATGCCTTGGGAACCTGGGAACACTGACACAAAGTAGCATTTACCACATATCACCTTGTAATCGAACACTGTCTAGCCTGCTCCTATTTTAAGGCTTTCTACTTTTCAAATGCCTCACATTATTTTCTCCATCTTTTTTTCATTCTCTTTTTCTCTACTCTTCAATTCTCAACACTGAAATTTCAAGGAAATATTTCAAGGAAATTTCAATGTTGATGAAGAGTACAGTACAACATAGCCTTTTCATACTTTTGTTAGGTTTTACAAGAGTTAAACCATTTTATTTAAACTATTTTCCATGTTTCGAAGTTTGTATTGTGATTAAGTATTAACTATAATTAAACCAAATGAGTTATAAATATTAAACTGTTTATTTCCAGGAGAGGAAAGTTCTCAGAATTTAAAGCTCATACAGCTCCAGTTCGAAGTGTAGACTTTTCAGCTGATGGCCAGTTTCTAGCTACAGCTTCTGAGGACAAATCCATAAAAGTATGGAACATGTATCGCCAGCGCTTCCTGTATTCCTTATATCGACATACACACTGGGTACGCTGTGCCAAGTAAGTGTAAACAATTTCATATTAAGATTTCCACATTTTTTTTTTCTGCTGTAGTTCATGTTTGCCCTCAGCTTCCAGAAAAAGGGTTTGAGGACATATTCATTCATTCGGAAGATATTTTTTGTGCGACTGCTATATGCTGGAACAATAGTAAACAAAATAGTCAAAATCCTTGCTCTTACATTCCAGAGAGACAGACAAACAAATAGGAAAATAGATAGATAGGTCAAATGGCAGTAAGTACTATGGGGAAAGAGCCGGGTTGGAAGAGGACTTGTAATTTTTATTTTATTTATTTTTTTGATACGATCTCACTCCTGTCACCCAGGCTGGAATGTAGTGATGCCATTACCACTCATTGCAGCCTTGACTTCCCGGGCTCAGGTGATTCTCTCACCTCAGACTCTGAGTAGCTGGGACTACAGGCATTCACTGCCATTCCTGGATAATTTTTTGTATTTTTAGTAGAGACAGGGTTTGACCATGTTGCCCAGGCTGGTCTCAAACTCCTTGGCTCAAGCGATCCACCTGCCTTGGCCTCCCAAAGTGCTGGATTACAGGCATGAACCATCATACCGGCAAGGGGCCTTTAATTTCAAATGACATTCAGGGAATGTCTCACAGATAGGGTGACCTTTGGATAGAGATGTAAAGGAGGGAGTGAGGCTTTAAGAAATTCAGGAAAAGAATATCCTGGATAGGAGAAGCAAGGGCAGAAACCCTGAGGCAGAGCCTGGTGGCTATGTGAAGAAAAGCATGGGCGAGGATAGGTGGGGATGTAGGAGGGGCCCCAGGAAGGCCAGCCAGGCTAAGAGCAGCGCTGACTCATGCCCTTGGTGGGAGGAGATGGCAGTGTAGTGCCGTCCTCTCTTTGACCTGCATTTTACTGGAATTTCTTAGACTGCTGTGTGGAGAATAGATTGTCAAAGCCAGGCCAGAAGCAGGGAGACCTTGTTAGGAGGCTAAGCAGTCCAGGTCCTGGCTTGGACCAAGCTGGTGACTATGAAGATTGTGATGTGGTTGGATTCTAGACAAAGTTTGAAGTTATAACCGGCAGTACGAGCTGTCACATCAGATTTGACAGAGAAAGAGTGAAGTCAGGAAGAACTCCAGAATATTTGGCAGCAGTCTGTTGGCAGGTGAATGCTACTGTAGGTGTTGTTAGTTACCTGTTGGCCAACAGCTGTGGAGTCTTTCTGTTCATAGGACACTCTGCTAAAGTACTGACAGTGTAGATTGCATTTCCTGATGGCTCATGTTTATAATCCCAGCACTTTGTGAGGCCAAGGCTGGTGGATCACTTGAGGTCAGGAGTTTGAGACCAGCCTGGCCAACATGGCAAAACCCTGCCTCTACTAAAAATACAAAAATTAGCCAGGCATGGTAGCACGTGCCTGTAGTCCCAGTTACTTGAGAGACTGAGGCAGGAGAATAACTTGAACCCAGGAGGCTGTGGTTGCAGTAAGCCAAGATTGCGCCATTGCACTCCACCCTGGGTGACCATTCCCCATTTTCTGCCTAGCATCCATTCCCTGTTTTCTGGTAGCGGCGCTCAAGCTTGCCCTGAGGAACTAGCCTGCCCCCTTGGTCCCCTCTGTGTCTTGTGGAGCAGTGGCCCTATCTCCAGTTGCAGCAGCGGACATTCAGCTCAGGCTCGCCCACAGAAACATAGCATCTCCTCCTAGAGGAGTGAGTCTTGTTGAAACCATGGGCTTTTCCTCTTGGATGGCAGTGTTTGGGCTTATTTAAGCCTGTCACTGCTGAGGGACACTGTGGGCAAAGGACTGACTAAAAATAATATTAATTCAGAAGAGAGCAGAGCTGTGAGAGGAACAGAATGAATTTTTATTTAATCACGTAAGTTGGTTTCTGAATATAGTCACACCTGAAAGTATTAGAGAGAGTGTGTGTATATGTCTGTGTTGTGTGTGTGTGTGTGTGTGTGTCTGTGTGTGAGAAAGAGAGAGAGGGTGGGGGAGGGAGGGAAGGGGGGGGAGAGAGAGAGAGAGAGAGAGAGAGAGACTGACTTGAAAAATGGGTTCTTCTTACCCAGTCAAGACATTTTATCTCCATCCTCAACACTGCTGCTGTAGTTTTAGCAACATTGACCTTTGTGGAGACTTTTGTGGAGAGAGAGAGTTAAAAAGTGAGATCTTCTTACCCAGTCAAGACATCTGTTTTATTTCCATCCTCAATGCTGCTGCTGCAGTTTTAGCACCTTTGACCTTTGTGGAGACTTTTGCAGGAATCTCCTAAATGGTCTCCCAGACTGCAGAATCCCTCTTCCCACCATCCACCCTGCATCTCTACTTTTGTAAAAAACAAATCTGGTCATGCTGTTTCTCACCTTAAAACCCCTCAGTGACTCGTTGCCCTGGCGTGTATGCACTGTCCTCTTATCTTTCTTCTGTCACTTTGTCTTTCTTCTGTCACTTTCACCATTCACCTTCTTGCAGCCAGAGGAGGCTCCTCAAGTGTGAATGACCCTTTATGACTTGTGCCTTTTCACATGATGATTTCCATGCTGGAACGCCCCTGCTTCTGCCCTTCCTTCTCAACCTGCTCTGCATCTCTTCCTCCAGGAATGGTTTCTCCCTCTTCTGGGCCAAGCTCATTGTGACTCATTTATGCCACCACATTGCCTTGCTTTATGAGGTCTGTCAGCTTAGACCTGTCTTCCCTATTAGACTTTGAATTGCAAGTATTTATGTTGTATTCTCTTGCCAGGCACTGTTCTAAATTGTATGATACAGCATAAAGTAAAACACAAAATTTCTACTCTCATGGAGCTTCTTTTACTGAAGAGAGACAGGCAGCAAATACATTAGTGATAAGTGGAGAAAAATTATGCAGGGTAACAAGATAAAAAGTGGTGGGATTGGGAGGTGCTGTTTCACATATCGAGGTCAGGGAAGGCATATTTACCAAGGTGTTTGAGCCAAGACTGGACTATACTGAGGAAGCTAGTAAGGCTGGTGTCAGGAGAGAGTGTTCCAGATAGGTCAGATACGATCTGAGAAGCACTGTAGAGTATCAGCTACAGGATGGGAAAGGGTCAGGGGTTGTGCAAAAATGTGGCTGAATGAATCAGTGAAATGTTGGTGAGTAGGCTTAGGTTTACCTCTAAAGCAAAGGTAATTTTCATGGATTTCTTCAGAGAAGAGTTATTTTTGTGAATCTTTTATAGCAAATCCAGGAGTATTGTGCGTGCATATTTTGCATGGAGATGTTTATATGGCTTCACTGCTTTCTTTATCCATTTTGGTTGACTCTTGTTCTATTGGCCAGTTGCTTACTCGGCACACCTGGCCTTCATGGACTATCTTTATCTTGCTGGCACCTTAAGGTTCTGAGGGATTTTTTTTTAAGTCAGTTTTCTTACTGTTTGGAGTGAATGATTAATATAAAACTCTACAGAGGCCTTCCTCAAGGAATGTTCTTTGATGAATAATTTGGTTAAATTTAATGAATAAGAATTTCATTTTCTTGGCAACTTTTTATTTATGTGCTCTACAACATGCTTACAGATTCTTTCTCATGCATTTATTATAATGTATCTTCTTGGCTTACCTTATTGCAGTTAGAACGAGATAGTTTAGACCAATGTCTAGAGGGCCTGATTGACCACCCAGGCCCAGCCTCCCAGAGTGTTTGTGCATCTTCCAGGGAGAACTTAACCTTGATGAAGTCATTCTAATCCAGGACTTTCAAACATCTGCAGGACTAGAAGTCCTGTTTTCACCCTATACCTGAAGATGAGAAAGCTCAGGGGAGCTTGAGTCATGTTTCATAAATTTAGGAGAGTCTGAAACATATGTCAGATGCCAGTTTACTCTTTTTAGTGACAGTGCTAACTGCCACAGAGCCTGGAACATTTGCATGCCTTAGTCAGGGCCTTCGTCCTTTGCCAACAAAGTCAGAATATAATCAGAAGGCTGCTCAGTGACACCTGGAACTAAAGCAATAGGAGTTTGTGGAAAAAATCTTGTTAGATAGTTTTCTCAGATGAGGATAGTGAGGTGAACCTGTCTCCTCATCCACACACCTGCCAATGATTAGTACTGCTGGTCAGGCACCCCTCCCCTGGGTCAGGATGGAGGCTGATGACCAGCTCTTGCTCTTGCTCTTTGCTTGTTGCAGTTGTTGCACACCTCCTCTCTGTTGATGTAGTATCTTTCAGGTGATGCAGTACAGTGATTAATTTCAGCAGAGAGGCAGCATAGAGTAGTTAAGAGCCTGAGCTCACTAGCATGTTACTTGGGCACATCACATTCTCTGGGCATTAGTCCCCTCCCATATAAAATGAGTACAATGGAAGTGACTTCCTCATAAGGTCATGGTGAAGATTAAATTAGTTAATGAATGTAAAGTGCCAATTATTGTCAGCTATTAACTACCCTCACATCAGTTCCTCCCCTAGGGATTATACTGGAGCCACTGTCAGGTGATATTCGAATGACATTTCACATATTTGCACATAGTTTTTGGAGTAGATGGCTACTATTAGCTATAAAAATATATGTTGTGTAGTAAACTTAAAAAGAGGGTCTTTATATTTCAAAGTAGTTGGGTCTGAAAATCTCTACCTTTTAACTGAAGTTCTTAGTCTGTTTAAATGTATGTAATCAGTCCTGTGATTGGATTTAAGTCTACCATCTTACTGTTTTCTATTTATCCCATTTATCCCACATGTTTGTTATTTCTTTATCCTCCTCTCCTTTTGGATTAATTAACTATTTCTTAGCATTTAACTTATCTATTTTATTCTTAGCTTTGCTGTTTGTCTTATTTTGTTTTGTGGTAACCTCTAGAGATTACAATATGCATCCTTTTCACAGGATTAATTTTATGCTGTTTTATATATAACGTTAGAACCTACAGAACTATTTCTCCATTTACTTCTTGACAGTTTACATCTACATACGGTGTAAGCTCACAATGCGTTAAGCAGCCAATTTTCTCTTAAAGAAAATAAGAAACAAAAAAGTCTTTTATATTTA